AGTATCCCAGCGGGAAAAACCTGTGGAAAATATGCTTCTTTCCTCTGCTTTCTTCATACAAGAAATGTGTGGAAAACCTCCTCTACCCCTTCCTTTTCTGCCTTCTCTCCTTGCCAAATACACGGGGGTGACACACAAAAGGCAGGGGTAGAAGAGGTTTTCCAGTGGATCTACAGCTGCTCAAAGCAGGACAAAATCCACTGGATCTACAGCTGCCGAAAGCAGGGCAAAATCCACTGGATCTACAGCTGCCGAAAGCAGGGCAAAATCCACTGGTTTTTGTCCTGAAAAAACCAGTGGAAATCCACTGGTTTTTGTACTGAAAAAACCAGTGGAAATCCTGCTGCCTAACGCAGGACAAAATCCACTGGTTTTTGGCCTTCCCGCTTTTCAGAATTTCCACATGCAAAACAGCAATAAAAAACAATACTTTATAATTTGGTATATGCATTTATTAATCTATTTACAGTCCAAGGGCTTTATGACAAAAGTGTTGTTGTATGTTTTATTTTTTGCCTTAGTGAACGGTGAACGCAGATCATCTTGATATTGGGGATGTCTGTAATTGTCGTTTCTGAGTGAATCTGAAAATAAAAACCATAATACCTACATTAATATATTACATATTAATACAAATAATAAATATATAAAAAGTAATGGAAATTATAGAGAAATTTAGAAAAATAAGTAATAAACATAGTAAAAAGCATGGGAACACAGGGCTGTTGAAACTTATTAAAAATTTAGTGAGTACTTACTGCTTCTGGATTGGCTTCGGCATCGGAGTCCAAATGGCCGAGTTCTTTAAATGACGAAATCGGAATGTCCGCTTGCGCACGTTCAGTTTTGCCGTTAATATAAACACAAGGGCCAGAATCCTTGAAGTCGAATCTATTACAAATTCTAAAAAAAAACATTGTTTGTTTTTGTAAAACCGAAAAATAAATTTAAATAAAAAACTTACTTACTTGACAAAGGCCTCCGGCGGCTAAAATGTAGTTTAAAGATTATCATGCACGGTCCGCGCGCTCGGTCTCAGGGCGTGCGCCGACCAACGACTCTAACGAGCGTCAATTCGCTTCGCGCGCGCATAGTAAGGGTCAATAAAATGAATTTTTAATGCTATTTAATTCTATAACTCAAAAACTAATTTTGATACCATTCTGAAACTTTAGTATGTTCATCAGAAGAATTTGAAGGATTTACTGTGAAAAAAAAAAAATCAAAATGGTCCAAGTTGGAGAAAAATGAATTTGTTATAAACATTTGAACTTTTTGTGGTGAAAAATTGTTTAAAAAATTTTTCACGAAAGTTTTGCAAAGAAGAAGGAAGGATGAAATTTTTACTTCCTATTCATTTTTTTTCTGCGACGTACGGTTTTCGAGTTATTGGGGCTGGAAAACGCGACTGTCATCAAAAAAAGGGCAGTTCATCAAAAATTCAAAAAATCATAACTTTGTCAAAAAAATTTTCTGAGCCAAATAAAAAAATACGTGTCGATTTATTTTCGATAAAGAGCAAGAAAAAAAATATCTCATCGAATTTCTCAATATCGACTGTAAATCTGATATGGAATCACCCATATATATAGTGCGATAGAAGTAACGCAAAATCAAACGCAAATCAAATCAAAGTTCAATGCCCAAGCAGCAATAAAAGGAAACAATGCAAAGACAATCAATGTCAATGCACCTAAAAACGAAAGTTCGCTGCCGACGCAGTATCAGCATTAAAAGCGCAAGCAAACTAATGCTAACGGGGTTGGGTAATATAGCTATGCGCAAGTGACGAAAGAGAAAAACTGAAGAAAATTGTACAGAAAATTTGTCAACTGTACCGATAACGATGCGCACTTTTCTATTAGCAAAAATCCAACGGCACCTCTTTTTTCTTTTTGGTGGAATTAAGGCACAAGAAAACACCAAAAATTTGCGCGCTCAACAGCGGCTTGTGCAAATCAATTAGGGTGGTCCAGATAAGTTACCACACAAAAATTATATTTAAATATTTAAATATTTGTATATTGCCAAATTTAAATTTGTATTTTATATGCCGGGAATTTTAAGTTTTGATTAATATAAGATTTTTAAACAGAGTGATAAGTGAACTACGGTCCACTCGAATGCTACGCGAACTTTTTCAATCAACTCAACTCACTGAACAAAACACAGCGATGAGTGAAAATCAACTCATTTTGCCGTACGCATCATTCCAATCAAAAAAATGAGCATGTTTGACGAAAGCATCATTCGGATCAATTCGAGTTGATCGTGTATGAGTAAACGAAGTGAGCATTACGAATGCATAATTAAGTTTAATATAAATTTGAAATCAAAATGCGACGAATCAATGAACATGTTCCTTATTTGTTTTAAAATAAAATTAAAACATGAAAATAAACGCTTTGTTGTGAAATCATTTTCATTGTGTTGTGTTTCACCTTCTTCTTCGCACATTTCATCTGTGCAAAAAAAGTTCCGTTTGCTGCGCGCATGAGTAAAATCATACGAGTTGATTTTTGTGAGTTGAGTGCTATTCTTGTTCAAAAAAATGATTGTTGATACGAATGAGTAGCGCCCGAAATCATTATGCTGAACACGAGCCGAACGATTTGGAGTGAAACAAAAAATCGCTCGCACCCGAGTTGATTTAAAATCTACAACGAAAATGTGAGCGCATGCAAGTTTGATCGGCTGATCCGAACATTGTGATTATTCGGCTGTTGAGCGCGTACGAATTTTGTTCATTCACCCGAAGCCGTTCTCTGGTGTGTATGCGCGTAGGCTTGAACAACTTTTTATTTTTTCCGCACAATAGTTTTTACCAAATTTATTTATTAAATAATCACACACTATATGCCTCGTAGTTCACTTTCACTCCTTACCTGTGCACTCCTGGCCAATGTAAAATCCATTTTCCAAAACGTCAAATTCCACAAAAAGATCCAAGTCAAATTCCAATAAGAGTGCCGAAGTCCAACCAAGTCCAAACGAAAACGCCTCGCAAAATGGTACACCCGGGGGCGCCAAAAAATGTAGATCCAAAAAAGGGGTCTTCTACTAACGTGGCCCTGTGCCACAAGCAATTTCAGAATCGAAAGTCAATAAATTATTGAAGGCCAATTTGCGTAGGCGGACGAGACAGACAGTAATACGTTTGCTCAAATTCAGTTTAAAAAATTTTTTTTGGGTCTACAACTTTGCTTCCGCCGTTTTCCAATAGATGTTTCTAGGGTCAAGCACTGGTCGATATAAATCGATTTTTTAATTCCAAGAAAAGTGCTGCTGAAGCTCATCGAATGCTTTCGGATACGTACGGTGAGGATGTTCTGAGTCAAAGAACATGTCGCGAATGGTTTCAACGTTTTAAGAATGGTGATTATGAAGTCAAAGACCGGCATGGTGGTGAAAGGGAGAAGATTTTCGAAGATGCTGAATTGGAAGCATTACTCGACCAAGATGCGTTTCAAACCCAAGAGGAGTTTACCAAATCATTGCAAGTGCAAAACGCCTCAAAGCCATGGGGATGATTTAGAAACAAGGAAACTGGGTGCCTTACGACTTAAAACCAAGAGATGTCGAACGGCGCTTTTTTGCATGTGAACAGCTGCTCCAAAGGCAAAACCGGAAGGGATTTCTACATCGCATCGTAACTGGCGAAGAAAGTCATGGGGAAAGCCTGGACATGCCTACACGTCGACGGCAAAACCGAACATTCACGGCGCCAAGGTCATGCTCTGCATTTGGTGGGACCAGCTGGGGGGTGATATATTATGAGCTGCTAAAGCCAAGTGAAACCATCACAGGAGATCGATACCGAACGCAATTATGCGTTTGAGCCGAGCACTTAAAGAAAAACGGCCACAGTACGAGGAAAGACACGATAAAGTCATTCTCCAGCATGACAATGCTCGGCCTCACGTCGCAAAGGTGGTCAAAAAATATTTGGAGACGCTGAAATGGGAAATCTTACCCCACCCGCCGTATTCTTCAGACGTTGCTCCATCTGACTACCACCTGTTCCGATCGATGGTACACGGTCTAGCTAAAGAGCACTTCAGTTCTTATGAAGAAGTCAAAAATTGGATTGATACTTGGATCGACTCGAAAGATGAGGAGTTCTTTCGTCACGGAATACGCATGCTGCCAGACAGATGGTCAAAAGTAGTAGCTAGCGACGGCTAATATTTTGAATAGCATTTCTGAAACCGTTTTTTTACAATAGAGCCTTGAATTTAAAAAAAAAACGGCGGAAGCAAAGTTGTAAACCCAATACATTTAAAAAAAAATTTTTTTTCTGAATGACCAATATGTCGAGAACATTGTGTACAAATTTTGAGTCAATTAGTGTCAAACTAACGGGGTAACAGCGTTTTAAACAACCGTATTTGGACGTATTTTCACGTATAAAAATATTTTGAATCGATTTTGCCGAAGACGTTATTTTGAAAGTCGGTGAACATCAGAACTCAAAATCTCCTGAACCGATCCTTTTCAATTTTTATCACAAATTCTCAACATAAATACGCAGGTAATAAGGAAGAGTTTTTTTTTTATTTTTAATTTTTTTCAATTTTTAAAAAATAAATGAACAACGATTTTTTAAGCTAAAATCGCACTTTTCACTTTTAAGTGCTCCCGAAAATAGACAAAAAATAAATTAAAAAAAAACTCTTCCTGATTACCTCGGGAAATTCATAATCTTTACAACGCATATCACATTTTATTTTTAAGATGATCCGTTAACGCTCTATGATGTTCACCGCAAAACAACTTTTTCTTTGGGCGCTTCGGAGGAATAATCGCTATTTCTAAATATTTTTTAATAATTTTTTTTTCTAATACTCTTCAAAATGTATCATAACAATAAAATGTAATTAAGCTCAAAAAAATAATTACTTATTTCGCCCCAAAAAAATCAAACATGGCCCTTTTTTGGCCTTTGAAACCTTACCCTCCCCAAGTTTCGAGTTTCGATAACAAACTTTTGCATTTTCAGGCACATATACGGTCAATCTGCGGGATTTCAGGTGTGGAGCAAGGATCGGCAGCAAGCTTACGACGCTTAAGGGGTTATATACCTTTTTGACCAGAGAAATACAGGGTTTTTATTTATTTTTTTAGCATGTTACCATTGTTTTATTTAAATTCAATATATATTTTATCAAAGTACGTGTCCTTAACTTAATTCGTCTGAAATTTCGAGTGAAAATATTCATAATTGTGGAAGTTATAGTCCTTGCCGCAGAAGTCCTTTTTTCAGTAGTGGCTCACGGTGAGCATGAAAACAAGGAAACGGCTCAACAGAAAAAAAAAAAAAAAAAAAAAACTACGTTAGTATATAGTGTTACCTAGTTCGTGAACGAAGGATTTTACGAAAAAAAATTTTTTACAGTTACAGTGATTATTTTTTCAAAAAAACTGATTTTTCGAGGTCTAATAATTTAGTTTTTCGCCCCAAAAAAATAGAAAAATTTGTCGAAAATAAAATTCCTTCGTTCACGAACTAGCTATTGTATCTACAAACAATCCCCCAAAAAAAAAAAAATTCAAATCGATCGATGTAGTGGTTACCGAGATATTGTGCTCACCGCAATGACCTTTTCTCAAAAATGCGATTCCGAGATAATCGCGTTTAAAGTTTTAGCTGGACATTAGGTAGTCGTGTACACCGTGCGCTATGAACGGCTGTATCTTGGGTTCTAGTGCCCCGATCTCTAAAAAATTTTGCAGAAAAATTGTTGAAAGTATGTACATTAAAAAAAATCATAAAATTTTTTTCCATTTTTTGATTTTGAAAAAGGTATATAACCCCTTAAGCGACCAGATGAATTCGCATCTGCGTGCGCTGATTACCATGGCAACGACACAGGCGATCATGGACGGTCTTCTGATCTATCTGGTAGCTTCGAAGTTTGATCGCCACACACGAGAGAAATGGGAAGAAGGTCTGCAGGCAAATAAGCTGCTGAAGTGGAAAGATATGGCTACATTCCTGGAAAAGAGGTGCCGCATGTTGGAGAATATTGAAAACGCTATGGTAATCCAGACACCTAGCAAACAGGTGAGAAAACCAAGCACTAACAAAAATATTCATAACGCAATCGTAGCATCATCATTAAATACCTCTTCATGTAGCATGTGTAAAAGTAGAGATCATTTCAATTCGAAATGCGCTCAGTTTTTAAACCCCAGTCCCACCTTGCGATATAAGGAGGCTATAAGGCTGCACTTGTGTCTAAATTGTTTGCGAAAAGGCCATGGTATGCAACAGTGCAAGTCTGGTTCTTGCAAACGCTGCCATTCGAAGCATAATTCGTTGCTTCACATCGATTCTAATGCCATCGCCACACCCTCCCCTCCAACTACCATTACTTAGACCCCACCTGTTGTCTCGTCAGATAGTAAGACCGATTATGTGCTGCTTGCCACTGCCATCGTATACATCAGAAATCGATCTGGTGCATTTGTCCCGTGCAGAGCCTTGTTAGATTCTTGTGCTCAAATCAACATCGTCACTTCTCGTTTCGTTAAGCAGTTGCAACTCACTACTCGTCAAGCAAACACATCTATCTCTGGAGTTGGTGAATCATCATTTTCATCAAATGCAACCGTCGATCTCGAAGCACACTCCAGGGATATAAAATGTCGTACAGCACTGACTGCAGTAATCAGTGGCAAAATTACGGATTATAAGCCTCATTTTGATTTAAACGCCATAGGGTGGAACATACCACCAAATCTTGTTCTTGCTGATCCGTGGTTCTACAATAGTCAGCGTATCGCTTTGTTAATAGGAGCTGGCATCTTTTACGAATTGCTTTGCGTTGGGCAAATGCGTTTAGCCGAAAATCTGCACATTTTGCAAAAAACGCGTCTTGGCTGGTTTGCATCTGGAGGGATTTCGTTCTCAAACATGAAGCATTCAGCACTTGCAGTGACCACTGCGCCCGTCATCCAATCGGAGACCGATTCCTTGCCAGACATCGTCAAACGGTTTTGGGAAATCGACAGCTACTGTGGATCTCCAATTGTCGCAACTGATAAAGATGTATTGTGCGAGCAGCTTCGACTCAGGGCAATACTCAGTTCGTGTGCCTGCCAAAGCCAGTTTTTATATGCTCGGCTATTTATACGGTCGTGGCTTACGTCGATTTAAGACGCAAGAGGGCAAATTGCTCAAGGATTTGGAACTGAAGTCGCAATACGCTACATTCATCAAAGAATATATCGACCTACAGCATATGTCACTTGCTTCTGAGCAATTAGTAACCTCGCAATATTACTTGCCTCATCATTGTATTCAGAAGCCAGATAGTACAACCACGAAGTTACGAGTTGTATTCGATGGCTCAGCTAAAACGACCTCAGGATACTCTTTAAATGATTTATTGTTTGCAGGTCCCTCAATACAGCCCAAAATCTTCAACACACTGCTTCGTTTTCGTTTTTTTAAAGTTGCATTATGCGGGGACATCTGCAAAATGTATCGATGTGTCCGTGTCACTAGCCCTGATAACTATTTGCAGTCTATCTTATGGCGTGACAACCCAAATCAACAAGTCAAGGCTTATTCGCTGGCAATTCGTGCTATGCAGCAGCTATCCTATAATGAGGAAGCTGATTTCCCGTTGGCAGCCAAAATAGTTCGAAGAGACTTTTATGTAGAATATCTCATATCTGGAGGTGACTCGATCGAGGAGGCAGCTCAAATTCGTGAGCAGGTGAAGGAATTGCTATCCAAGGGTCATTTTCCAATTCGAAAATGGTGTTCAAATGAGGCAGCAGCTTTAGAAGGCGAGCCAGAAATTGATCGCGAGAAAACGCTTAGATTTCATGATGGAACTGATGTCCTCAAAGCACTCGGCTTATATTGGGATGCAAAATCGGATCACTTGCTTTTCTCATTGTCTGAAACTATGACGAAAAGATCGATTTTATCGGCCGTTGTCAAGTTCTACGACCCTCTCGGATTGATAGCACCGATCGTTACAAAGTTTAAAATATTTCTGCAAATTCTTTGGAAAGACAAACAGGATTGGGACAAGTCGCTTCTGCAATCTTTGCACTCCTCATGTCTGAAGCACATGAAGCAGATTTCAGCGGTCAATCATTTCGTTATGCAGCCCAACTCGTCGTTGGAAATACACTCATTTTGTGACGCAAGTTTAGCAGCGTATGGCGCCTGCGTTTACGTCAGATCTGAAGTTCATGGCTGTCTCTCAACTCATTTACTTTGTTCCAAATCTAGAGTTTCGCCCCTAAAAACCCTCACTATACCCAAATTTCATCGGATTGTAATTTTTATTGTTGGTCTGATTCAACCATAACGCTTTCTTGGATTCGTCAAGCTCCATCAGATTTTAATATTTTTGTATCCAACAGAATTGCGCAGATTCAGGATTGCACCAAGGGCAAGATATGGCGTCATGTACCCACACACTCGAACATTGTCGACATATTATCGCGTGGATGTTCGCCTCTCGAGCTTTTGGAGTCGAACCTGTGGCGAGAGGGACCTCCATTTTTACGTTTGGATTCATCGTGCTGGCCAAATATAACGCCTGTTGTGGACAACTTTCCTGAACGTCGTCGCATGCTTATAGTTGTAACCGAGAAGCAGGATATCCCATACGATTGCAAATTTCCAAACTCATTTGGAAAGCTGCAGCAAGTTTTTGGATATATATACCGGTTCTGGCTTCTCAAATTTCAAAAGCAAACGCGGCACAAAGGACCTCTCGCAATCGATGACGTCATCTACTCATCAAAGGAATCCATTGCGAAAGAACAAACAGGTTGCATCAAATAGCAAGCTCTCGTCGTTGCACCCTATTCTGGATGACTCAGGATTATCTTGTTCTGGTCGTCACTTTTTGCCATTCAATTCCACAATCAAAATTGACAATCAACATACACAAAAATTTCAGAAAAATTGCATAATAGTTGAAAGCCGCCCCTAGAATTGATTAAAACAAAAGTAGTCTACATCTCCAATGTTCCTTATAAAAACCTTTAAGCTGTTGTTTAGCCTTAACCTCCGAACATATATAAAAGCAGATCATTTTTCTATCAGCTTCCAGTTTTTCCGATAAAGCAAAGAGACATAAAATGTACTTACTTGTAGCATTCTTGTAAATAGAGCTCTACAACGCCATACAAGTACTATAACCAAAGCTCTGACTAACCTAGGAGTTGATTTGCTGCTTGTGAGACTCATCTATCAATTGCCTACCTGCAGGATTGTGACGTTATAACTGGCAAACTTAACAAAACATGCCTACCTCACAAGGAGGAGCGCTCTTTGTCGACCTATAAATCGAGGTGGTGAAAATATTGTAGAAATTCTATACCAGCGATAAAGTCTCTGAGTTCACTATACGATTCGGATTGATTCGTGTTGGTAGTCGCTTACAAAACTCGCTTCTGGACTACGATGTGAGGCATGCATAAAGTGGTAGCAACAAATTAGTTGCACAAGCAAACACACACAAGCAAAGGCCCTATGGGAATAAAACTCCCCGGCCGGGACCAACAAACTGCGCCGTCCTTAGCTCCTTCCCCAAAAGACTAACCACTAACATCCTAATTAGCTACCAGAATACAAGAGGGTTGCGTGGCAAGCTAACCAAATTGTATACTGATAGCTTTTCGTTTGCATCCCAAGTTATTGTGTTAACAGAAACCTGGTTAAAGCCGGAGATCTTTAGCTCCGAAGTTTTTTCCGGTAAGTACACAATATATAGGAATGACCGTCCCTCTAGACGTGAAGGGAGCGTCCTTATTGCAGTGGACGCTAACCTCACGTCAGAAGAGGTCTTGACAGAAGATCCTTTGAACTTTCAGTTCGAATTTTTATGCGTAAAACTGTCTGTCGCTGGCAGGTTTATTTTTATTACCTTTATACCTTTTCCATACTACCTCCGTCCGATCTCGAGGACTATTTTAGGCACCTATCAGTTTTAAAGTGAATTTCGAGTTCTTTGTCCGATATGGATCAGTTGGTAGTTCTAGGTGATTTTAATATATCTGGAACTACGTGGTCCTCGGATTATAATTCCAATGCTTTACAACCCATAGGCCACAATGAATTCATTGACGGACTACTTGACATAGCTCTGTGTCAGATGAGCCATGTTCGAAACTCATTAGATCGTTTACTTGATTTGTGCCTTGTCTCAATTCCTGAAAGCGTTTTTCTTTCCAGAGCAGCACCACTTATGCTACCTGAAGATCCGTATCACCCTGTTTTCGAGGTGACTATCGACACTGGTATAACAGTTTAAATAATGTTAAAAAGATAGCCAAGCGAACTCATTGTTTTCGCAGAGCTAACTTTCTGAGACTTAATCATCTTATATGTATCTGGCAATGACTAGCCCGATCTCTACTCCTGCAATAATATGAAAGATGCCATTACAATTTTTTATTCGGCAATCAAATCGTTTTTTAACTCGTGTGTTCCGCTATACAACGAGACAAGATGCAATAAACCACCTTGGTTTAGCAAGGAGTTGTCACGCCTTAGAAGTTTAAAGTCCAGACTTTGTAAAAAATATAAGGTTTCAGGTTGTCAGTCTATTTTTGGAAAATATTTAAGAGCTGAGTCAAACTTTACCGTGCTTAACGCACAGTGTTAAAAAAAATTATTTAGTCCGTTGCAGGTCCCAGCTTTTACGGGATCCTAAGCGGTTTTATAATTTTGTTAACACTAAGCGAAGATCATGTTCCTTTCCGCCTTCGCTTTCGTTTGAAAGTATGACGACTAATACTGATCAGGCAATAGCCGATCGGTTTGTCCAATTCTTTCAAACAACTTACTCCACAGTGTCCCTACAAACTTGTCAGTTTCCCTTTGTTTGAAAGGAGTCATTTGTTATTCCCCTTCATAGAAAGGGAAACAAGTCGGATGCTAGAAATTATAGAAGTATTTCTAAATTGTCAGCAATTCCAAAGCTTTTTGAGCGTGTAATAACTCTTCACTTGCTGATTAGCTGCCCTTTTTAAAGAATGAAATTTTATTTCTTTGAATCCGTTCGTATTATTTAGAAATAACATTTATTTCTTAAAACTATAATTGTTAAACAATAAAAATAAATATCAACAACATAAATAATAGTCAGTTATCTTAAACTATAATGTATAACTTCACTTCTAAATATCTTTGGTCCATACTTGCGCGTAAATAACTTTTGGCTCTTTCTTTCTCCTCAATAGTTCGTAGACGGAATACTCAAAAAATACGTAGAGAAAAGTCTACATTTGGATAAACATCTTGAAGATTTTGAGAATGCAAAAAATTATATATTCCTTGCGCGGAACGAATATCTTTTTGGTTCATAAGAGAATAGTTGAGTTGACAATCCAAATGAATACATTCATTCGCGAAAGTATCTGCCAAATCCTCAGAATACTAGTAATTAATTCATCTGCGCAAATTTTTAATTAATTGGTATCAATTTCATATGATTTGTGAAAAAAATAAATTTATCATAAAGATTATGATAAGCACTTTAACGTCCTGTCAATTGTACACTTAAAGTATCTAAAATTGGATAGTAATCGTTGGTTCGAAACTTTTCTTTTCAGATAAAGCTGTTCTTTCATTGTCCCGTGTCTCGTCAGCCTGAAGTTTTCAGTTTTTTTTACGACGGGTGTCATAAATAAAATTTTATTCAGACTCACAACAATATCACATGTATGCAACTAGATCACGTCAATCGCTCGAATATATAATATCTGCATAAATATGTACTTGAATTTTAATAAAATTTTACAATATTTACGAACTATTACTTTAAGCTATACAAGTTTGTAAATATGCGTCAATATACTTCCCTGTTCGGTCAAAATTTGTTATTCCCTAAGTATTTTCTTGTATACACATCAGAGACTGTTAACTTTCTGGTATTTATTATGTTACGATAGTCATGTTATGCTAGCTGCACTTTGCGCAGCAAGAATAAACGATCAGTACGAATGAAATAGCGAAACGGAGAACACTCTTTTAATCCGGTACGGACTTTTGGCACACCATTTTTCACACCGCCCAGATCCTAGTTTCATGTCACCACAAAAACGCTTGTGGATGCAACATTTTGGCGCTCAACGTGGGGCAGTGTGTTAAATAAACATTTAAATAAACTAATAAACTTATAAATTAAACGTGCCAAAAGTCTCACCGTTCTCGCGCGTTCCGTATGCACACAGCTGCATACATACGTATACGATCACAAGTGCGAGCAGTCAAGTGTCGCTAACAAACGGGACAATTCTTCGATTTCGCTTTGCGCTTGAAATTCCTCTCCACACTTAAACCGAAATTGAAAGGGAATCGTTGCTTGCAGTTCTTTCGTTTTCGCTAATTTCTGCAACTGTGTAGCCGTTTGTCGCTCAACAAATTTGTCGCTTTCGGAATCTAACGGCAAGTCTTCGCGCTACACCGGTTCAGAACTTTGATACGCTTCAACCTTAACCTAACTGCAAAATAATGGTTCCGAGTGTAAGCTAACTTGACGAGGCCAAACGTCAAAGAGCCAATTTCAAACGAAACATTTCGCGAATTAAATCAGTAGTTGACGAACATGTTGAAGAGGAGTCTTTCAACCGCTCTGCCGCTGAACTCCAATGCCGTCTGGGAATTTTGGAATCCTACTTTAAACAGGCGCTAGTGATTCAAACTAAAATTGAAACTCTGGATTCAGCGGACAACGGGCGTGTTGACATTGAGGAGTCATACATAGCGACCAAATTGGCTATCAAACAACTACTCGGTGAAAATCTAAGCAGCACAATGCTCGAATCCAATCCACCGGCACTGCCGCAGTCAAAGCTCCCAAGGCTGCCGCTGCCAACTTTTGATGGTACTCACACGGAGTATAAAAACTTCATGACTTCGTTTATGCAGCTTACTAAACGTGAGAATTTATCATCAATTGAGAAATTCAACCATCTTCTCAACTGTTTGAAGGGCCCAGCCCTGGAAGCAGTAAAGGCGTTTTCAGTGACCAGCGAAAACTTTCCCAAGGCTTTGGATAAGTTGAAGGCTCGATACGACCAGCGCTAATATTTATGGAAACAATAACCACAATCTTTAAATTGCAGCCTGTTAACTCTTCGAATGCACAACAATTGCGAAGCTTGATCGATAATTCATCCGCCCTATTCAGCTCTCTGTCGTCGCTGGGCTCAGATGCACAAATTTCGGAGGCAATGCTGATCTACCTGGCTATGGACAAGTGCGATCAACAAACTCGGAATAAATGGAATGAATCCCAGGACTACTATTCGTTGCCATCCTGGACCCAGTGCGCTAGTGTGCTCGAACGCCACTGCCAATTTCTAGTATCCAGTGGATCTTCCTCAACTAAACTTCGAAGGCCTGTCCAGACTAAACCAATATCGGGTGCAATCAACAACGCTCACAACGTATCATTTGCACTCACCAAGACCACATGCGTCTTTTGCTCCAGCGCTGGACACAGACTCATGGTATGCGACCAGTTTCGGAATTTGGATTCACTGCAACGCCTAGAAGTGGTGAAAAAACATGGCCTTTGCGTCAATTGTCTTGGCAAGGGACATAAGGTGTCAAATTGCCCGTCGAAAAATCGCTGTCGAAGTTGCAATCAGCCGCATCATACGCTCTTGCATCACCACAACTCTTCGAAGTCGTTATCATTACCTTCGACAAGCTCGTCCCAGCCCAGCGGAACAGCAGCTTATTCTCAACCACAATTGAGCGCAGCACCAAACTACGTGAATGTGCAGCCGTATCCCATCGGAGCTGCAACCCATGCGCACGCTCAATCAGATGCAAGAGGGGGATCACAAGTCATCCTAGCCACAGCAATGGTGCAAGTTCAGGACTCAATTGGCTCCTTCAGACTCGGGAGAGCGCTTCTCGACTCCTGCTCTCAGGTCAATTTTATAACCGAGGCTTTTGCTCATAAATTCAGATTGCCGAGGGACAAACATAGTGTTCAAATTCGCAGTATCGGCGACTCGAACACGTACATCAAACACCGTACATCAACAACAATCAAATCTCGTCTTTCGCCTTTCGAATTGTCTCTCGATCTCTGCATAACGCCTAATATTGCATATCAACCGGATACCCAAATTGACATCTCGAACTGGAACCTTCAGCCCAACGCGCCGTTAGCGGACGAACAATTTCATCTTTCCCGAAACGTCGACATGCTGCTAGGTGCAGAGGCATTCTACGATATTCTAGCAGTGGGCCAAGTCAAACTGGGCTCCAATTTGCCGACTCTCCAAAAGACACTATTCGGTTGGGTAGTAGCGGGAAGCCATCGCCCAAAACAATCAAAGGAGTCCTACGCATATCTGGCTCAAAGCTCTGCAGCCATTGATGCAAATCTCAAGCGTCTGTGGGAAGTGGAAACTATCAGCGCCTCGGCTGATCAACTGAAGCCAGAACACCAGTTATGTGAGACACACTTCAAGCAGTCAAATCGCTTAGAAGCAAACGGAAGGATCGTCGTTAAGTTACCATTCAAGGATGCCCCTACTCAGCTTGGCAATTCGGTTGACATTGCTCTTCGAAGATTTCTCAACGTCAAACGGCGACTTGTACGTTCACCGGAAGTCTACGCCCAATATAGGACGTTTATGAACGAATATGAACAAATGGGTCACATGGAGCTAGTGGCAAATCCCAATTTATCGGCTCCTCACTACTACATTCCTCACCACTGTGTGATAAAGCCAGCCAGTGAATCTACAAAGCTTCGAGTTGTATGCGTCCTGCAAAACGTCAAGTCAAGTCTCCTTGAATGACATCTTACTTTGCGGTCCCACGATTCAAGATGATCTCTTCATGCTACTGCTACGTTTTAGACTTTCAAGATATGCCCTGACAGCCGACATAGCGAAGATGTACAGGCAAGTAAATGTTGATATTAGTGACCGCAAATTTCAGTACATTCTCTGGCGAGATTTTCCAGGCGATCAACTACGCACATATCAGCTTAATACGATCACTTACGGAACGGCTTCCGCACCATATCTCGCTGTATGTAGCCTACACCATTTAGCGGATCTTCATGGCGCTGAATTTCCCATTGGTGCTGCCGTTATAAGGACTTCATTCTATGTCGACGATTTAATAACTGGTGCAGACGAAATATCGACTCTGTCAGTCATAAAGGATCAAGTTACCAAATTACTAGAACGCGGTCAGTTTCCGCTTACCAAATGGCACTCAAATCACATGGACTTCGTCGAGAGTCGCAACAACAAGGATCTCAATCCATGCATAAACGCTATGACTAGTACACTTGGAGTATAGTGGGATCAGAATTCCGATGTCCTACAATTTGCATTCACAAAACGTACGATTCTATCTGTTGCGTCTGCACTATTCGACCCACTTGGATTTCTGTCACCGCTAATTATCATCGCCAAGATCATTCTACAGGAACTCTGGCTAGCAGGATTGAGTTGGGATGAATCGGTACCGCAACACTTGCAAATCGCTTGGAGCAAGTGCTTGAAATCCTTTAGAACCTGTTCAAACCTGTTGAAATCCACGATGAAAATGATGAACAGACAATGAGTGAAGTTAATAATAGGTATATTCGTTTATTTAAATTAAATTCACAGAGCTTTCGTAGCGTTCTCTTTAACTTCCATTTTCAAAGTGTTACCTTACATCTTAAATCTTATGTAAGTATATCGAAACTGACCGTCTAAATAGCGGCACGCTTACAAACATTAAATTGCCGTGCATTACAAATTATTCTCACTGTTCAACACTCCTCCTCAATTTAAGTTTGGGTTAAAATAAAAAATTAAATGTTTCTCCTGAGAAAAAGTATAAGAGATCAATTCCTGAATTCAAAATCAAAAACTCACTAAGGGCTAACATAAATTTAAATTCCGTCTTTCTTCGTTCACAGCCAGTCAAACACTTCACAGTCTTCGTTGCATTCCCATTCTTTGGCACAGAAGATGATGTTGGTCCTTTGGCAATGCCTTCGTCAGCACATCTGCGATCTGGTCCTTTGTATTGATGTACTGAACGTCGATTCTTCTTTTCTCGGCAAGATCACGGATGAAGTTATATTTCACATCGATGTGCTTCAACCGCTTGTGTTCCCATCGATGGAGCAGTCGAATGCAGGCTTGATTGTCCTCATAAATGTTCAGTGGACCTTGATGCTCGATTCCAAGGTCAGCCAAAAGCGTCTCGATCCAGATCAGTTCCGTTGCAGTATTTGCAAGAGCAACGTATTCCGCCTCAGTTGAAGATAAAGCAACAGAATTTTGCCTGCGCGTTGCCCACAGCACCGGGTTCCCGTAGATGTGTATGACATATCCTGACGTCGATTTCCGGTCGCCCTCACTTCCAAAATTGGCGTCTACAAAGCAGTTAACAACTGGGACTTGGTTTTTCTTGTAGACGAGGCAATAGTCCTGGGTTCCTTTTATGTATCGCAGAACTCGCTTCAAGTCTTTCCATAAGTGGTTCGAGTACCGACTCTGATGTCTGCTGAGAAAATTGACGGCTGCACAGAAATCCGGCCTTGTTGTAGTTGTAGCATACATCAGACAACCTATCAGTTCTCGACAAGGCTTCGTTGTCTCGGTATTTTCTTCGGAAAGCTCAAAGTTGATTTCCATGAGAGTGGCTACGGGATGACAATTTTCCATTTCGAACCTGACGAGAAGTTTCTCAAAGTAGTTCCTTTGGCTCAAAATGAGAGTTCCTTCTTCCGGTTTCGTAATTTTCATACCCAGGAAAGAGTTTAAGTCGCCCAGGTCCTTCATCTTGAACTTCTTTTCCAACTCCGTCTGTATGCACATTACTTGTGTTGAACTTGTTCCAGCAAGTATGATGTCGTCAACATACAGCAGTAAAAATAGTTTTGTTGTTTTTGTATGAACTGTGTACAGGCAGCGATCAGCATTCGAGTTTTTGAGTCCAAGCTCACGTGCAAACTTGTCGAAGGTCTCGTTCCAAGCTCTGGGTGCTTGCTTCAACCCATATAGCGCTTTTTCCAGCTTGCAGACTTTTCCAGGCTTTTCCTTGAATCCAGGGGGAACCTTCATGTATATTTCCTCGTACAGATCTCCGTGCAAGAACGCATTTTTTACATCAAGTTGTCTGGTGTAAAAGTTGACTTGATTTACAAATGATAGAAGAACTCTCAGAGTTGTAAGACGAGCTACTGGGGCGTAAGTTTCTTCGTAATCGAAGCCTTGTTTCTGCGCAAAGCCCTTGACCACGAGTCTAGCCTTGTATCGCTCAATTTTTCCTTCTGCTTCTTTTTTGACTTTGAAGACCCACTTGCAGTCAATCGCACGTTTTCCTTCCGGCAAATCGACAATTTTCCTGGTCTTGTTTTCCATGAGAGAATTCATCTCCTCCTTAACAGCTTGTTCCCAATCTTCCTTGTCATCACGAGTATGGATTTCCTCGTAGCTACCAGGAACATCATCGACGAATGACTCTGCATTTAAGGCCAGCATAACGTAGTCCTCCAGGCGTCGAGGTTTCAGTTTTGTTCTCTCTCCTCTCCTCGAATTATCCGTAACATTCGGAAATTTATTATCAGTCGTTTCTTCAGCTATCTCAGGTAAGTGTAATTCTTCATCCTTTTCTTTTTCTGGTGATGGTTCTTCGGGTACATCTTCCGTGATGGTTTCTTCGACGTCGTGATTCGGCCAGTCGTCAGAGTTTGTTTCCTGAAACTGAAATCTTGTTTCGTCGAATATCACATCTCTGCCCATGATTACTTTTTGTTCCTCTATACACCAGAGTTTGTAGCCGTTCGGACAGTACCCTATCATCCTGCATCGTATTGACCGTGAGTTGAATTTTCCTCCTACGATCTCTGTGGGCACCTTCAAAAAAGCAGGTTAGGTTTGCGGCCGTACCACAGGGTTGCTGGCACTTCTCCTCCTAACGCTGTGGTTGGGCTGCGATTGATGAGGTATACTGCACTCAGTGATGCGTGGTCCCAGAAGCTTTTGCTGAGTTTGGAGTGCAGGATCATACATCTGGCTTTTTCGACAATCGTCCTGTGTATTCTCTCTGCGACCCCGTTTTCCTCAGGCGTGTATCTGATTGTATATTCCACCTGAATTCCACTTCCTTTGAGATGTACTCTCTGCCATTGTCACAACGAAGTCTGCTCAGTTTCGTGTTAAAATGTGCTGAAGCCATGGCCTCGTATGCTTTAATGTATCGAAAGGCCTCTGACTTTGCTTCCAGAGCATACGCAACAGTAAAATGCGTGAAGTCATCGATCAGAGTAAGCATATACCTTTTTCCATCCTTGGATGTTGGCGAAATTGGTCCAAAGAGATCTGTGTGTACTAGTTGAAGTGGTCTTTTGGCTCTTTGACGTGTCTGGATGTGGGGTAACTTTACTTGTTTGCCTTCGACACATGCATCACAAACTTCAGGTGTTTCCGCATTTCCTTCGAACGATATTCCATCCGCCAGTTTGGGTAGTCTTTTCAGGCTATCGTAGTTCAAATGGCCAAGTCTTCCATGCCACAGTTGCAGAGTTGCAGGTTGACCACATGCGTAACATCTATAAGGAAAGTTGTTCGAATTATTCCTGTGACCAGTTCCATTTTTTCCTGCATCTTCACGAGCACCAACAGGCCCCAAAACGTTTCCTTTTCCAGCTGCTCGCTCTTGGATAAATTGTGAGGTTTCAGTTCCTTCCTCTTGGTTTCTTCATCTAGGAGACGATTTTTGACGAACGAAATTTCCAAGTTCTTAGCAGCCAGAGTTTCGATCGCCGTCACAACTGTATTATATTCAGGTGGCATCGTGAGCAGCAGATGGCAAACAACATCGTTTTCCTCCAGAGTGGCACCAGATTGACGCAGTTCTCAAACAAGTGTATCAAATTTTAGAAAAAATGAGGTTAGGGTTTCACCTATTGGATTAAATTTAGTGATCAACAGTTTCTTTCTTAATAATAATTGACATGCGATTCCTTTACGCTCAAAAGTAGACTTCAAGGATGTCCATAATTCATGCGCGCTGTACTTGTCCTTAGCATATTCCAAGTGGCTGTCCGCAATCCTCTGTATTATTTGAGACTTGCACTTCCGGTCGAGCCGTTTCAGTTTTTCCACCTCCATTTCCGATTCCGCTTCATCTATAAAAGTTTCCAGCGACGTTTCCGTAAATTGTTTGAGATCGAGTTCCTCTAGCAGCGTTTCCATTCGGAATTTCCAATTCCCGAAATTACTGCCATCGAATAGAGGATCGCATCGCGGATCGCGGAAACCGCGTTTCCGATTCCTCAGACATTTTTCAAGTCCAAAAGTGTTCTAAGTTCCACGCTCGACTATTTTTCCGACTCACCCGTCGCCGATTCCACGAAATACCTCGTGTTTCCAAGAATCAAAGTTTCTAGTGCCTTCCAAGTGACGCCGCACTGGTCACTTTTTTTTCGAGTTCACGTGTTACACCAATTCCGAGTAATACCTCGTGTTTCCAAGAAACGAAGTTTCTAGTAGATTCCAAGTGACGCCTTTCCAGTCACTTTATTCCGAGTTCCCGTATTACACCAATTCCGAGTAATACCTCGGTGCCTGGGCCCATAACCTGTTGAAATCCACGATGAAAATGATGAACAGACAATGAGTGAAGTTAATAATAGGTATATTCGTTTATTTAAATTAAATTCACAGAGCTTTCGTAGCGTTCTCTATGTAAGTATATCGAAACTGACCGTCTAAATAGCGGCACGCTTACAAACATTAAATTGCCGTGCATTATAAATTATTCTCACTGTTCAACAAAACCTTTCGGTGCCACGCTATTGTCTACAAGCTCAATACCTATCAGTTCAGATTCACGGATTCTGTGACGCGTCAATCCGAGCATATGGTTGCGCCATTTATCTACGTACCGAACGCATCGACGGAACCATCGCTGTTCAACTGTTTACTTCTAAGTCCAGAGTGGCCCCGGTAAAAAGGAAGTCTCTTCCAAAATTGGAATTGTGCGGAGCGCACTTGCTGGCGCAGTTGTATACTAAGGTCCTCCCGATGCTACAGGACAAGCCGTATACCTCATACTTTTGGTCGGATTCCCAGATTGTACTGCATTGGCTACAGGAGCATTCTGTTACACTATCGACATTCGTAGGAAATCGAGTATCCGAAATACAAGATTCAACATCGACTGGAGAATGGAAATATGTACCCACATCGCTCAACCCAGCTGATATTGTGTCCAGAGGAGCTACAACACATGAACTCCAAGCTTCAATATGGTTTTCTGGACCGCCCTTTCTATCGCAACATATGTCAGACTGGCATCAGCCTCCCAAGCTGAGGAATCTTGACCAGGAAGTAGTTAATTCAGAGAAGCGAAAAAGCACATTCACAGCCGTTGTGAGGTCAAACCATTTACTTGAAAGGATGAAATCAATCAGCTCGTATACTGGGTGTCTACGCGTAATCGCATGGATGATCCGCTTCTATCGTCTCACAGGCAAAACGAATAACACCAAAGCGGCTGGATTGACATCGGAGGAATTACAACATGCATCCAACTGCATCATATGGAATCTCCAACAGCAATCGTTTTCAATAGAATTTCCGCTGCTACAAAAATCTCGACCGCTGAAAGGACAGCTGAAATTTCTCAACCCTTTCATTGAATCTTCCTCAGGTTTCCAGCTCATCAGAGTCGGCGGCAGGCTCGAAAACGCCAACATCTCAGAAAGTGAGAAGCACCCGATTCTTTTGCCTAAGAAATCGCATATCTCCTGGATATATGTTCGACATCTTCATCTACGAAACTTTCACGCTGGACCGAAAGCTTTGGTGGCGCTCAGTCGTTTGGAATTCTGGATAGTCAATGTCAGAGACTTAGCCCGGCGAGTCGTTCGATCCTGCGTATCTTGTGTTCGCTACAAACCGAAACTACAAGAGCAACTGATGGGATCACTGCCTGTGGAGCGCCTTTCGCCACAACAACCCTTTTCGAAGTGCGGCGTCGACTTTTGCGGTCCAATCAACACTTATCTTCGCATCCGTGGAAAGGGTCCTGTGAAGTCTTACTTGGCAATCTTCGTCTGTATGGCATCAAAGGCTGTACACATACGAATGATTGCTCGACGCGCATTGCCCACGGACATTTATTGTGACAATGCCACAAATTTTGCAGGCGCTTCTGTAGCGAATAGGTAAATAAAAAAGCAGCTGATCGCAAGCTTTCCTGCGCCACCTAGGGGAGGATAATGGCACTAGTTGGCGTGAGAGGTATTCTATGTTAGGTACAACTGCATTTTTGGATATGTCAGTGGTGGTTGGGATGTCGGTTTTAGTTGGCAACCGTGGCCGAGAGGTTTATTCGATATTAGGTACGGTTGTATTTACGCTAACGTCATTTTTGGCTGACTTTAGCATCACTAAATAGCCAAAATGCACATGAGGGAAATCTCAAACTTCCTTTTCAAATTTTGAAGCTCGGCGTGAACGGTTGGGTGTGGTCCAGCCAGTGATTTTAATATAAAGTGAGAAATTAAGGTTGTGTCTGATCAAGGTCCGGTTGGAGCGCGACTTCACCAGTCGACGTGCAGCAGATTGCATAACCCTGCTGCAAGTCCATTGCAAGTGTAAGTGAACAAGGGATTTTTAACCAGATTTTCGTCAATTAATTCCCCTTCCGTACCCTGATAGGTACACTCGGAATTTTACGACTTCCCTGCGCGGAGGCGGGAATTACGTTAACGTCAGCAATCACTGCTTCCCCAAATAGGGGGCAGTTCAGTCGACCGTCTTCAAGCAGTATCGTCAAGTTAAGTTCTGCGGCGCATAGGAGGAAGGATTAAGGATTATTTTCACCAGCTAGTTCCTGTCGGGTACCATATAATGTCAGTGATCTTCGCCAGAAACTTGGCAATATATGGCTGAGTGGCACTAGGTGGCCGAATACCTTAAAAGGAGGTGTTTTCTTTTGCCTTTTTCTTGTCTTGCTGTCGGGACTTGTAGACCCCCTCAAATGTATTAATTCAAGTTCAAGAAAAGCACAGTGGTCCGAGATACCTGTCGCAATGCAGTGCATAAATTGTCGTTGTGCCAAAGCAGACGCCTGCGCGTAATATCAATTAAACTAAAAGAAGTGGCTAAATACGGAGGTGCAACTCAAATCAGTAAATTGTAAAAAAATTTTAGCCGAAAAACAGATTATAATTTTGTTAAAATTTGAGCCTCACGAAACAATCGAAATCATGTGAATTTACAAAACGTATATGTAAAATAAATTCGCCTATGGTCAAAATAATTAAGTTAGGTTAAAAACATTGTAGATTAAATGCAAAAATAATGTGAATATTAGGAAAACTGAATATCAACTATCGTTAGCAGCAAAGATTATTTTTGAAATTATTGGAAGAATAAAAAAAAAAGGAATATAAAATTAAACTGTGTCAGTGGTTATGACAAGTTCGGTCGCATTAACGACAGCTATCAGCCAATTAGGTGTTATTGCCAAACTGCTTTGCTAATAATTTTTCAGCTCAAGTCCCAACTTTTGGAAGCGCTTTCATCAGTGGAGGAAATTCAGGTGAGCCAAGCATGACTCTAAATAATACCCAATCTGGCACACATTATTTAATTACTGTATGATGCGAACCTAACCCTGCTGTTTAAAAACGAATTTAATTTGATCTTTTAATACAATGCGATTTATGACACTTATTCATTAAAAGTAAAACTTTGTAAAATTAAAATTAAAGCGCTAACGAATAGCTGTTAATATGAATTAAACTTGAAATTTGAAATAAAACTAGAAGTAAAGAATAGAACCAAATATTCACGAACATGTTAAAATTATAGAGAAATTAAATTGAAATTAGTTCTTAATCATTTGCAAATTTATCTTGTAGGTTTTTTTGATACATTATATTATACTTTATGAAGTCATACAAGTTTACAAAGCCAACAAGAATTTTCTTTATGAATTATATTATGTTATCTTTAGCTTCTATATTTAGGAAATAAAAACGAATTATAATGTCTGAGTAGATAACCAATCTTTTTAACTCCATGCTGACCCGAGAGCCACCTTAGTTGCCTTTTTCAAATGGGGCCTGTTGCAGATCATATTTGGAATATTGACATGGCCAAGGAAGGGAGGGCTAATATCATGCCCGCATACATCTTGTGGCGTACGTTGAGGGAAATTCAATTTTTTTCTGTCTGTCCGTTTGTCATGCTATCTCTATATCCGGCCGATTTTGGCTCGTTGTTTTATTTTTGCACGCAAGAAAATTTAATTGTTAAGGATTTAAATGAGCACCCATAAGCTGCAGCCTCTCCAGAACACCACGACATTTGCCGACGAGTTAAAGCCGGAATAATACGCGTGCAGGGCTTACAGTTCGGGATACCATCAGCTCACCGTTGTTCGTTACGCTTCTAACCATCTTCAAGAACTCAAGAAATTCATCTTTGACCGCAACACGCAAGATGCAATTGAATCCTTTTGTTCTTCTGATTTTATTAATTTTCACTTTATCCCCCCTAGAGCCCCACATTTCGGCGGACTTTGGGAAGCGGCAGTAAAAAGTGCAAAAGGACTGCTGAACAGAACTCTTATGAATACGCGGCTCACCTTTGAAGAGCTCACCACCGTGGCAGCTGAAGTCGAGGCCATACTCAACTCACGCCCGTTAACCCCATTATCGCCTGATCCGAGTGATTTTGGAGCGATCACTCCGGGTCACCTCCTGGTTGGAAAGCCGTTGCGTGCCTTGCCGGAACGCCACGTCACCACAGCTAACATCACCAATCTTCAGCGCTTTGACGTCGTGACGGCCATCAAGCAAGAGTTTTGGCGCCGTTGGTCAGCGGAATACATCAACGAACTGCGAGCCCGCACTAAATGATCACAACCTTCAACGAACGTCACCGTTGGATCTTTAGTCATCATCCACGACGACAATCGTCCTCCACAGCATTGGAAACTCGGCCGTATTGACTCCGTTGTAGTCGGAAAAGACGGTCTCGTCAGAGTTGCTCATGTCAGAACACCTAACGGCTGCTGCTCTCGACCAATACACAAGTTGGCATTAATCCCTACATCTGACCTGAAGGACTGAGAATTTTGAAAGTGGATCCTATCAAGGGTGCCGGGATGCTCGGTCAAACTTTGTTATTCCCTAAGTATTTTCTTGTATACATATCAGAGACTGTTAACTTTCTGGTATTTATTATGTTACGACAGTCATGTTATGCTAGCTGCACTTTGCGAAGCAGAATAAACGATCAGTACGAATGAAATAGCGAAACGGAGAACACTCTTTTAATCCGGTACGGACTTTTGGCACACCATTTTTCACACCGCCCAGATCCTAGTTTCATGTCACCACAAAAACGCTTGTGGATGCAATAATATTCCCAATATTGCGAAAATGAAACATCGATGTTATATATATAAAAAAAAATCAGAATAAATCCTTGAAATGATTTGTCGTTATATTATATCAGAATAACAATTTTGACATTCTGAAAAATTTGCCGCCCCCCAAGATGTGCCGGCCAAGGCCCGGGCCTCACGGGCTGACCTCAGTAAAGCATTTGACTTTGTTAATCGCTTTCTATTGATTCGCAAATTTGACATGATAGGGTTTCCAGATGGTCTTTTAAGTTGGATCTCTAGTTATCTTATTGGGCGCACACAAAGAGTGCTTTTCAAAAATTCCTTAAGTAGTCTCCTCAGAGTTACCTCTGGTGTACCACAAGGAAGTCCCCTGGGACCATTACCTTGTAAGGGTTTGTAAATCGCCTTACAAGTTTGAGTGCAGGAGAGCCGCATAGCAACAGCGGGATGCGCTGCGTGCAGAAGAAAAGGGAAATAACGGCTCAAGGGACTTTGGACTCAATGCTGCGGTCTTCGGACCCGCGCAAAGAGGAGAGACCGTGAACTAACGGTACCGTTCTGGACTTTGTACCCGTTATAACGGTGAAGTTCTGGACTTTGTACCCGTTATAACGGTGAAGTTGGCGGACTTTGTACCCGTTATAACGGTGAAGTTGGCGGACTTTGGACCAGCACAAAGAGGAGAGACCGTGAACTAACGGGACTTGTGCTGCCCTTTGGACCCGATCACGCCACTTGTCCTGCACTTTGGACCCGATCACGCCACTTGTCCTGCACTTTGTACCCAGTCACGCCACCGATGGAGGGAAATAGCGGGACATGGATGGCATATAAAAGGAGGACGCGTGCAGGAAGCTGGACAGTCAAGTGAAGTCGTGCAACGAGATCGTACCAACGCGAGTGAAACCCCAAGGAGAACACCAAGTGCCATTTAATCCGGAATCAAGATCGCCGAGTCAAGAAGCCCAACGACGGTCACGTCTACATAAGCTGAGACTGCCAAGCTGAGATCCCGAGGGTACAAGGTAAGTTGTAGGGTGCGTCTACGAGTCTCGAAATCGACGAAGTTGGTGGAGTCTTGGCAGTGGATGTTGTGCGAAAGGTACCCGGCGTCGGTTTCCCATGAAAGATTGAGAACCTGCTGAGGGCCAGGCCGACGAAGATCCAGTGGAGTTGTGCGAAAGGTACCCGGCGTCGGTTTCCCATGAAAGATTGAGAACCAGCTGAGGGCCAGGCCGACGAAGTCCCGACCGAACTCCGGGGTGGAGCGAAGAGTGGTGACTGCAGGCATCACTGCTTAGCCCCGCTAGGGAGGTTCTGCCTAACATCCTCCAAGGTTGTGAGAGGCTCGTAGCGAGCCTAGTACGCGACCGGTGCCCAAAAGACTCGGCAAGGCAGAGGACGCGCGACAGGCGTGCCGCCGTAGAGTCGACGCGGGAGCCATTACCGGCGTCAACGAGGGAGAGCGAGTCGTCAGGCAGCAGATCCACGAGTCAATACCAAGCTGTAAAGCCACAAACAATAAACCCAACATATATTCTAAAGCTAACCTATCTCTGTGTTCTTCTTTGGTCTCGGGTCACGCAACAATAAATTTGGTGGGACGAACACACAAACTCAACTGAGCTAGCCGCACGTTACGTAGCGAGCGGAGACAAATAAAAGCAGTTCGTTACATCTGGCGCCCAAGCGTGATACTCGGACCAAAGAGACCAGAATAGGTATAGAATGGGGAAGTCCTGGTTATATAACCTCAAAAAGGACGATTTCCCGGCGATCGCAAGCGCCCTAGGCATCGAGCTAGAGGGCCTTGTAGAGGAAATGAGGCGGACACTGGCCGAATTCATCGACCACTCCGAACATGATCATGAAGCGCTGGTAATTCTGGCGGCCCTGGAAAGGGATTACGCCACATACCCGTCGGTCGGCCTGAAAGTCACCGGAGCCGAGGGCCTGGTACGCAGCCTGGACGTGAGCAGCATGCAGAACGCCGGCAGGAGCAGCAGCCGCGACCGACGGGAGAACAGCAAGGAGAGAAAGAGCGTCAACCGCGAACAACGCGAGGAAAATGGCAGACCAGGACAGGAGTATGCCAAAGTCGCAAAACAAGTCAGGGAGTGGAGTTTCCGCTACGACGGGAATGAGAAGCCCCTGGAATTCCTCGAACAAGTAGAGTGGTCGGCCATGACGTACGGGCTGGACATCAACCAAATTCCGAGGGCGATGCCGGAGCTCCTTCAGGGCAGAGCGCTAAAATGGTTCATCGCTAATAACAGGTTCTGGGAGACCTGGGGCGGATTTAGCCAGAGCTTCCAGGAGTTCTTCTTGCCCAGGGGATTCATGAGCAAACTCGCAGATCAGGTCAGGCAGAGGAAGCAGAACTACGGTGAAAGCTTCAAAGACTACATGGTAGACATGCAGACACTGATGCGACCCCTGGGTATGAACAAGGACGAGCTCTTGGAGCGGGTTAAAGAAAATAGCACCCCAGCATTACGGCTGTTTATACGCCCCTACAGGTGCCAGAACCTAGATACCCTGATGGCATTAGCGGACGAATTTGAGGAGCTCGACCAGCAGAGGGAGCGGTTCGAGCAGGAGAACATCCCGAAAGCCCGATACCATGCGCCGGCCATGAGGAGGGAACCAGCAGCAACGTGCAGGCGCTATCAAGAAGAGCCAAACGAGCGCAACGCACGGCCGGGATACATAGATAATCCATCCCAGGCATGCCGGAGATGCGGAAGCCAAGACCACTGGGCCAAAGAATGCCGCAATAGAAGGATCGCATTCTGTTGGAGATGCGGAAGAATAGGCGTCACGAAGGGCGAATGCTGCGCACGAGCGGGAAACGCCAAGCGACCCCAGCCACCGAGGGCGGCCAGGGATCGCAAGGTGCTGCCTCTCGAAACTAATGGGCGACCTGAAGGCGGAAGAGATGCAGCTGTCCGCCACAGTGCTCATTAACCAACGAAAAGTGAAGGCCACGGTGGACACTGGCGCCACGGCCAGCTTTATAAGCGAAGAGTTGGCGGACAGGCTGCAGGCCGCCGGTAAGGTCGTACCAACGAGAAGGCAGGTGCGCATGGCAGACGGAAGATGCGGGAGCATCCAATCACAGCTGGAGATAGTGGTTGGTCTCGGGACGAGGAAGGTGTTGATGCAATTATTAATCCTCCCAAGAGTGATAGACGCCCTAGTTTTGGGCTGGGATTTCCTCTCAAAAATAGGAGCGGAGGTAAAATGCGCAGGACTCGAGGTGGCGATACCAGCAAGGAAGCGCAGTCGAGGAATGCTGGAAGAAAGACTGTCGGTGGCAGTGGTAGAAACACCAGAACAGTTTTCGGAAGAGGACATCGCCAAATTCCTGAAGGAGGAGCTGAAAGCTCTAGAAGAGTCAAGCGGAGCATCAAACATAGCCGTCCACAAGATCACGATGAAGGACGACCAGCCAGTGAAGCAGAGGTACTACCCAAAAAACCCCAAAATGCAGGGGGAAATAAATGAAAAGGTAGACGAGCTGCTGAAAAAGGATGCATCGAGCCGTCAAGAAGCCCGTACAGCTCTCCAATCGTCATGGTAAAGAAGACGACGGGAAAATGGAGACTGTGCGTAGATTTCCGACAAATCAACGCAAAGTCGGTAAAGGATGCGTACCCGATGCCTATGATAAATTACATCCTGGATCAGCTAAGGGAGGCACGATACATCAGCAGCCTAGACTTGAAGGATGGATACTGGCAGATACCGCTGGAAGAGAAGAGCAGGCAGTATACCGCGTTCACCGTCCCAGGAAAAGGACTGTTCCAATGGAAGGTGATGCCATTCGGGCTGCACTCAGCGTCGGCAACGTTCCAAAGGGCGCTCGATCAGGTCATAGGGCCTGAGATGATGCCGCACGCCTTTGCGTATCAAGACGATATTATCGTCATCGGACGGACGCTGGAGGAGCATAAAAGAAACCTGAGGGAAGTGCTCCGAAGGCTGCGAGCAGCGAACCTAAAAGTAAATGTGGAGAAGTGCAAGTTCTTCAGAAAGGAGCTGCAGTACTTGGGACATCGCATCACCGACCAAGGAATTGGAACTGATCCGGAGAAGGTGGCGGCGATAGCGTTGCTGGAACCCCCAGCCAACGTCAAGGAGCTGAGGCAATACCTGGGAGTGGCATCATGGTACCGACGTTTTGTACCCGACTTCGCCACACTAGTCCAGCCGCTTAATGCCCTACTCCGAAAGAAGGTGAAATGGGAGTGGACCGACGACCACCAGAAAGCATTTGAGGCGGTCAAGGCCAGGCTGGTCGCAGACCCAATCCTGGCATGCCCAGACTTCACGAAGACGTTCATCCTGCAAACAGACGCCAGCGACTACGGGCTCGGCGCCATACTCACGCAGCATTCGGATCAAGACGAGAGAGTAATCTCGTATTCAAGTCGCTCCCTAAATGGAGCGGAAAGGAATTACTCCACAACGGAAAAGGAATGCTTGGCGATTGTATGGGCCATA